ATAGTTTACAAAAATGTTTTCCCATTCTGAGTGCTGTCTATTCACATTAATTACTGCGTGCTTTGTCATGCAGAAATTTCTTAGTCTGACATAATCCCACTTGACTATTTTGGGGATTATGGATTGTGCCTTGGGAGTCTTATTTAAGAAGTCTTTCCCGGTGAACGCCGACCGCACCAGGCGGAAGCTGGGCTCTGGGCCAGGATCCGAGAGCTCGGACTGGAGATTTCTGAGAGAGCAGACACCATCTTATTCCTGTTGAATTATATGTCATAACTCAAAAGGCACATATCAGCTGTCTGAAGCGACTTCATTCAAAAGGTAATTTCAAATGTTGAAAGGGTCATTTATTCTTTAATTTTACTTTTGTTATTTTTGTATCTTTGACATAGATAGTAGTCCTCTTGAACTTAATTGTAGTCATCCAGACAAGAAGATATACCAGTTATTTTCTCTCTGTACTAGAGTTTGCTTTTTTCCCCCTTCTTTTTTAAAAAAAAACTTTGGTGATACAGTTGATTTTTCTAAACCTTATGACCACTATTATTCTATATGATGTAGACATGGTGAATTTTAGTTTATATTGCTATATGACATAGATAAAGTGGAGAAGTTCTTGTCTTGCAGAAGTTTTAAAAAGTTTTCTCAATTGGGGGCCAGCAGGTGGTGTGGTGGTTAAGGTGGCGGACTCATGCATGGACTGACCATGGATTGAGTCTCGGACCAGATGGCTTGCTTTCTCGCTTTCCCTCTCTATCTGGTCAAATTAAAAAATAATAAATAAAATAAAATAATTATTTTAAAAAAAATTTCCCCAAATGATTTTTATATGTATTCTGTTCAACTACAAAAACATCAGGTGCATTCAGATAAACTGGAAAGAAGTTGTATGCATTGTTAAATGTTATACTTCTTTTAGGCAACTTTAGTAATTGCTTGAAGAATCAGTTTAATTCAGCGGACTTCCTGGATCTTGTCTGATTGTGAAAAACCTTGACTCATGAGATAGAAGGAATAAGGTGTTTCCTTTTAGAGGCACATTTGGTTCTAGGTTCTCTTAGTGACATGAAGGTAAACACAGTGAGGAAAAAAATAGACTTAGATTCTTTTATTCTTATGATGTTTATAAGTCAGCACGCTAGAGTTTAGAAATAGTAATACAGAGAAACTATTGTGGCACTGAAGTTTTTTTTCATTTAGCTTATGTTGCTCCAAAGACAGCATTAATTGGTTAGTTCTCAGTAAATGTATAGAAATGGTCATATATGACCAAACATTAGGGGATTAGTGCTTTGTTATTATGTGGGGAAAACAATGATCATCTTAAACCATTTAATATCTGGAATGACTATGATTAGGACAGGACAGACTTGACTTTCTCTAGAAGATAGACTAGGATAATGAAAAGAACACTTCAGTGAAAGACCTAGGATCTCTACTCGCCCCTTCTTTCACTAACTGGCTTTGGGTCTTAAGTTCATTTAATCACTGCATTTTAGTGGCTGTCTCTGTAAAATGAGAGTTAGAATTAAATATCAAGGTCCATCTACCTATATATGGAAAGAAAGTTTGTAATAAAGCAGAGTATTAAAGAAGACAGCCAGGACTATTTTGTTAGAACCAATCCAGTTGAACCACATTTAGCAAGAAATTTTAAAAAGTACACACACATACACACACACACATAGTCCTCAATTTCTGATGGTTCAACTTTTGGTTTTTCAACCTTGTGATGGTGTAAAATTGATAGGCATTCAGTTGAAACTGTACTTCAAATATCTATGAAACTATTTTGTTTTTTACTTTCGGTATAGTACTCAGTAAATGACATAAGATATTCGGCACTTTATTATAAATGGGGCTTTGTTTTAGATGATTTTGTCCTACTGTAAGGCTAATGTAAGTGTCCTGAGCATGCTTAAGGTAGGATTGGCTAAGCTGTGATATTGTGTTGATTAGGTGTTTTATGCTTGATCTTAGCCAAAAGGCCGAGATGTGATTGGTTAGTTCTAAATGCATTTTCAACTGTGGATATTTTTAACTTAGCTCATGTTTATTGAATGACAGTATTACCAGCATACAGCCTTCTCCTTAATGTGCTATTACATTTGTGTTTTTTTTTCCTGTACCATTTAGTTTTTTCTTTCTCAGTGTTCTTCGACTGCTTTGAGATTATTCTCATTGTCTTTGTAGTTTCTGCATAAGTTGTCTTGATAGGATGTGTTATTACTGAAGATTTTTCCAAGTGATGATTAATGTTTTTAATCATTTTCAGAAAGTTCTTAGCAATTATCTCTTCAAGTATTCCTTCTTCTTGTCTGCATTCTCTTCTTGATGTGATATCCCATCACATCAGGTTGCTGGACCCTCTCATCCTATGCTTTATACTTCTGAATCCCATTTTTCAATCTCTTTAGCTCTGATCTGTATTTTGGGTAATTTCCTAAACTCCATGTCCCTTTTGTTTTAAATGCTAATTATTTCTTTATTTGTGTCTACAGTTTAACCTAACATGTATTTTTTTTTATTTCAATGCTCATAAAAATCCATTTGCTCCCCAAATCATCTTCATTTTTTTGTCATGTTTTATATTGTTTTTTATATGTTTAATAATTTTAAGCAAAATTTCCATCTACACTATTAGGTAAAGGTTTTTGATGTCCAATTCTATTGATTTTTGTGTCTGTTATTCCACTCATGGTGGATTATTTTTTATGCTTTACTGTTCTGGATCATGAGCTTATCTTCAGTGAGACTTTTTTAAAAAGGAGTTCTGTGGGTTCAGAGTAGTTTTACATTTACTTCTACTACGTACTTTAGGGATTTTAGCATGGTATTACTTTTTTTTCCAAATTTCTGAACCTGAATTTCTTGGGTCATGTAGGTAATATACATTTTTTTAAAAACTTTTCCTTAATTTTATTTATTCATTCCCTTTTTTTTTTTTTTTGCGCTATAGGGCATGTGCGCTCACCAGAAAGACAGAGACAGAGAGACAGAAAGCGAGAAATCCCCCCAGGGGGGATGGCCAGGCCACAATCCCTTCTCCTCCATTCTCCTCTTGGGATCTTGGGCATGCATGCACACACGCCCAGCGTGAGTTTAAGCCACTGGGTCCGGGACTCACACCGTGGTTGACTACAGGGAAATCCAGCGACATAGCCATTACGCAAACTGCTGGTCCCTCATTTACTTATTTTAATTTGACCAGAGAGAGACAGAGAGAGAGAGAAAGCAAGCCATCAGGTCCAGGACTCGAACTGTGGTTGGCCATGTGGGAGTGTCCAGCGCCTTAACCACCATGCCATCTGCTGGTTACCAATAATGTGCATTTTAACTTCAAAGAAGGCTGGCCTACAATTTAGGTTCTCTTTGTAGATTTTTTTTTGGGGGCTGGGGGGGAGGTTTCCATCTAGACCTCAGGCTAAGATAAGTTTCCTTGATGGAGAACTTGGTTTTATGAGGGCGTTTTAGTTCTAACTTCCTGTCTCTCCGGGTGGAGGCTTCATTTTCGGTCATTTGCTAGGGTTAAAATTCGGATGTCTTGGTTATTAAGACTGGCACATATCCCCAAGGTAACTACAATTAGTTCATGCGTATTGCTCTGATTTTCAGTTCCTGTCCTTATTTTTAGCTTGAGTATTTTATTTCTTACTATCCTTTTAACGGCAAGTTTATTTCATTAAACATTTTGAGATGTTTGAGGGTGTCGTAAGTTGACCCTCAGTAATAGATAAAGATTTGAGGCAGATGTTTGCCTGCAGGAATTCTTTTTTTTTCTTTTTTCTTTTAAGGCCATCCTCTTGCCAATACTATCTATAGGGAAGAGAACAATTGTGAAGTGGGAGTGAGCACAGGGAAAAGCCAGTCCATATAACCAAGACTTCCGCCAGTCTTATGGGGAACTCTGGGTTTTTTGGTTGTCCTTGAGTTGCTGGAGATGAGGGTCTCCATCTGCTGCCAGGGAGGTCTTTTGTACTTCACCTTCAGCTGGTGGTTTATTATTATTATTTTTAAAAATAATTTTATTTCAGTCTCTGGTGATTTTTTTTTTTTTAAACTCATTCATTTACTTTAATTTGATCAGAGGGAGACACAGAGAGAAAGAGAGAGAAAGGGAAAGTGAGAAAGCAAGCCACCAGGTCCAGGACTTGAACCGTGGTTGACTGTGTGAGAGTATCCAGCGCTTTAACCACCTTGCCACCTGCTGGTCCCCTCAGCTGGTAATTTAATCAGTCTCAACCTTTTGCTGTCTTTGGCCATTGCTTCAGTAGCACCCTCAAGAGCCATCCATTCAGTAGTTGTTTCAATTACTGCTTTGTCCTAACTGCTCCAAGCCTAAATGTCGTAGCCACTGGGGCATTCCCTTTGTCCTGGCATTTCATCCCAGATCACTAGTGGTGAAGGTTTTAACAGATGTACTGCAGCACGCCAGTGCATTTTCCACACAGGATGGATGGTGCTTTGGGTGAGGGCAGTCCTGGAGCCAGTCTCAGCTAGGAGCCAACAGTAGCCAAGATTTCCAGCAGCCAGGGGATTGAGTCCTTAGGGGCAAGATCTGGGCAGGGCAACCCAGGATCCCCTACAGGGTGTTTGCAGATGTTTTTGTGTGCCTTAATGCCAGGGAAAATGAGCTAGTCCAAGCATGTAGAACATGAATTCTTATGTGGACTCTCCTAATAAGTAACAAGTTTGGATATGATTTCTTTGAGTTATTCATGTCTTCATTTTAGCCATAAATTTCATTTTCAAATAACTGTATAAATTGCTAATCATATTGCCAAAATGAGTGATGATGATGTTGAGATAAACCTAGGCATTATTGATTTATTACTTTAAGGAGTGGATACTACTTTTTGATGTTGTGATATAATTTCTATTATTAGGAAGTTTTATAATAGGGTATCATATTGTCAGCTTTTCAAAAAAGTACGTTTTAAAGAGCCAAATCTTGCAGCTTTACTGATACTCAGGAAAAAGAGCCAAAATACATACTCAAAGATAATATACATCTGTATTTTTTTTTTTACAGTTTGAGATATATTTCATATATCATAAAAATTATACCTACTGCACACATACAGTTCGGTGGTGTTTGGTATATTCGGAGTCATGCAGCCATTACCACATCTAATCTAGAACATTTTAACCCTCTGAAAAGAAACCTAGACCCATTACAGTGGTCATTCCTCATTTCCACCCTGCTCCCTTTCCACCCTGCCCTCGGCAACCACTAATGTACTTTCTGTCTTTATGAATTTACTTTTCTAGACATTTCACATAAATGGAATCATCCAGTATGCAACCTTTTTATAACTGAC